AAAAATGAATGATCAACTACAGAACAAAAATTGTATAATGGCAAATCTTATAAGGGGCAGAGATGAACCGTATTTTATCAAACGTTATTAAAAAATGTAGTCATAGGTGGCTCATGCCAATAAAACATGTATAATAGATGACATATTAGTTTTCCAATAATTACAGCTTTATCAGCTTGCGTCTTTCAATTTAACTATACTAGTTATAAGACTTACCATTGTACATTTTTTTTTTTTCAATAACTGATCATTTGTTTTATTATAATTTCTTGTTTGTTAGTTAGTATGTGGTGTGAATAAAGTCATAATAACAATATTTTAAAAGAATATTTTGTCTCGGTGTGATTTAGATAAAATAATAGATTTTCCTGTTACATCATACATTGCATATTGAAGTCAACATGTCTCGAAACCAAGTGAATATTGGGAAAAACTTTGTATTACAAAAATTACTCAAAATTTAACGATCTTTCAGATGGAGACTATGGACAATATGGAGACAATTCGTTTTCGATAAGTCCAGAAGAAATATATAAAGTTATTGCCATTTTGCTGTTATCGCGATTCATTTACTGGCCACTACATTGATACCAAGGCCATGAGTTGTATCACATAAAACTAGAAATATTCAACAGAATGTTCCACATGACCGAATCGACCATTGGCCAATAAAAAATCCTACAAGATGTGCTCGATGTCATAAATGTGTAACACATATATGTTCCAAGTGCTATGTAGGTTTACACATATAATGTTTTGCTCCCTACCACCTTCAGTAATATGAAAATTTTTCTAACATTTACGTAATATCTAGTTAAGAACAATATTTGCACAAATATACCTTTAGTCTTTTTATTTTTCTGCTTCGTCGGGATCATTAGTTATTTTTTTTAATGATATATTTTTTGAATTTTTTTTTTTTTTTGGAGAAATGTGTTTTTATGTACAATATTAACTAAACTCTAAAATGAAATAAAAGTTGCGTTATTCAAAGTACATTTAGGTTTTAATGGGTTAACAGCAGTCCCATCATACCCCACCACTATAAGTTTATTACAATCGATATTCTTGGCTTCCAAAAATTTTGCGATGTTCCTGCTGATAATCGTGGCATTAGTCCAGGCAAGTTAGACCAAAATCACCAAGAATACGAAAATTTTTTTCTGATGAACCAATCGAGTTGCGGTTTTTGGCATTGTCTTCGGAAAAATATCAGGAAAAAAGTCTATCTATTACACTTTGGGGCTGGATCGAAACTGCACTGCAGGTGCATAAACTGCATCTTGAAGTGCATCAATTTTTCCGAATTTTCTAAAAATGGTAAAAATTGACTAAAATTTGTAGAAATTTGTGTGCACGGGTTTTCAGGGTCGGAGATTCCGAATCTGACCCTGCAAAATATGCCCGACGGCCCTGGGGCCCCCCAGGGGGGCAAGGAGGGGGCCTTCTGTAAAAAATCAAATAGTTGAGTTGGCCTTCTAAATTTCCACTCAGGGGTTTTTGGGGTCGGGGACTGCAATTCTGACACTGAAAAGTATGCCCGATGCCCTGGGGCAAACACAATCACAGGAATTTCCTAACCTCAAAAAACAGATAAAAAATTCGCGAAAAAGTGCTAAGAAAAATATATTTTTTTTTTCCTCTATTCAAATGTTCATTTATATGGTTAACACCACGTCAAACGTGAATCCGCGGTCAGAATTGATAGTTCTTTAATAACAGATTCGCGCCAAATTTGGTTTACGGGGGTTTTCGGGGTCACTGATCACGAATCCGAGATCAATTATGCAAAATTCAAGACGGCGGATCCAAGATGGCCGACCAAATTTTCAAAAAATAACGCTATTCGATGTTTTACAGAAGCCCCCCCCCTTGCCCCCCTGGGGGGAGGGTCCAGGGGCGTCGGGCATACTTTTCAGTGTCAGAATCGAAATCCCCGACCCCAAAAACCCCCGACTGGAAATTTAGAAGGCAATTACTCAGCTATTCGATTTTTTACAGAAGGCCCCCCCTTGTCCCCCTGGGGGGCCCCAGGGCCGTTGGTCATATTGATGCACTTCAAGATGCAGTTTATGCACCCGCAATGCAGTTTCAATCCAGCCCCAAAGTGTAATAGATAGACTTTTTTTCCTGATATTTTTCCGAAGACAATGCCGAAAATCGCAACTCGATCGGTTCATCAGAAAAAATGTTCTGATTTATTGTCTAACTTGCCTGGTCTACATATCCAGATGTTAAGGACAGGTGCCCCAAGTATTCGGACTCAGGTTCTTTGAGCAAGCTCATATGTTCTTCGAATATTATTGTCCTTCTAGACACCTCCATTATAAGGGCCTTGTCCTCGCGTTCATCAAAATATAACCCAAAGTTATCAACTTCAAAAGTTAAGGGCACTTCAGTTAAGCACGTCCTCTGTTTTTAACGAGCACAGCATATTTTGTTTCTGTCAACATTGGATAAATTATCCTCGGAAATAAGGCCCACATTTTTTAGCACAAGTTTTGGCAATTGCGCTAAGATCATTAAGTTTCTGGAACTCCTGTGAAATTTTTGACTCATGAGCTACTTCAGACAATTTATTAGTTAAAGGGACACATTGAATTTCAGAGCGTACACTGATTGATGAAAGAGGTTCCGCGGGATGTTTTTCTTGAAGCACCTGTTGTCTATTTCTATTAAGGTTATCAGCTATTCTTTAACTTTCCTTGATCGAGCAAAAGTACAGTTCAATAACTAGGTAATGTATGGAGATCAATGTTCCAGTTTCAACCGTGCAATGGAAATTGACAAAATAGTATATTCCTTGATTCCTTGTAATATTGCGAACAATATTTTTATTTCATTTTTTATCTCTACAATTGATGCTACTATGATCCGTCTCTCCATCAATTGAGTGAGAAACATGCCCACATACTATTATGTGGGCATGTTTCACATGTTTAACATTCGAATAGTTTTAACTGTACAATACATTGCAGCATAACCCCTTGGCCTCACGACCCCATAACTCCATAATCTGGGATATGCTTTTCCAAAATTTGAGTAAAATTACCCACATAATAAATAAATTATCAAAATTATCTCGGACCTATAACTTCTTAAGGAAGCAAGATGGGATTAAGGTAAATTGATTTAAATCACCTTATTTTCATTCAAGCAAGTTAGCCTTAAAGTATGGCCCATTATTTAATAAACACCCTGTATAAGAGATAGTTTTAGGAAGTGACTATAGCTATATTGTCACTAGACAGAAGAGAGAAAAAAGATTCTTATTTAATTCCCATAAACCTGCTTTCGGGAAATTCAAAGCAAACTAGTACATTTGCAACTTTATAATAAATTTCTCAATATCAACAGCATACACAATGAAATGTCACACACTTCTAACAATTTCCATAAACAAAGAGGAAGGTTGTCGAAAAGTTCTCCGTTTGTCAAAGAAAACAAGGCATTTACGGATTCTTTATATTTCTCAATGTAGTTACCTTGTAGTTCAATACATTTAAACCAATAACCAATGACAAGTTTATACCTCAGTACAAAGCTTGGCAAAATATGCAGTTTCAGCGTTGATCGCATTATTTGAAAACTTTTTGTGAGAAACAGCTACTCTGCAGGCTACAGACCCTATCTGCCACTTAATTACACTTATAATATCAATGGTTCTGAGGTGATTAGGTAAACAGATCATTTGTCAACATAATCACCAGGCCCAGACCTGTTGGCGAGTAATTTCCAATGACAGTACGTAAAAACCAATAGGCGCATTCAACCAAGCAGACGCAGACAAGAAATAAAGCTAATATAGCAGTTCGATGCCCTCGTTCTAATATGACGTATCCCATATTAGGAAAATTTTTCAGGAGAAACGTCTCACTGTCATAATTAAAAAAATTAATTTTTATTTTTAACCCTAATTAAAATATACAAGCAATAATAATTGAGGCAAAAAAAAACATTTAAATAAATTGTATAATTATATTAAAAAAATATTTTTAATTATATTCTTGCTCATTTTTTAAAGTATTTTGTTAAAATTAACTTAAAACTAATCGACTAGCGATGTGAAAGTTAAGCGTGACTGTCACATAGCTAATGCTAACTTAACCTTAGTATGTGGGATACAACATATTAGAATACGTGAAAAAGGGTGTGTGAGATACGACATATTAGAAAATCTATTTCAAAATAGCAAATACCTCCAAAATACTTATGTGTTTGAAGTTTGTGGGTTTATGAATTTAGAGTTTATGGGTTTGGAGTTGGTTAAGGGTTTATGGGCTTATGGGTTTATGGGGTTAGGGTTTTCGGACTTAGGGTTTATGAGTTTGGGATTGAGCGTATTATTTTCAGTTTTATAAAATGCGTATCGGCCATATATCGAATTTTTAGACATTTTTTCAAGTTTATTCACGAGCAGCGTCCCCAAAAACATATAAGATCCCTACTTCCGGGTGCAGATGAATGTAGGTTTGTGGTGCTGTGTTGTCAGTATATTAAAAAATCGAGAAATAAGTCAAACTACTAAATTTCAACATACGATTTCTCAAAAACAAAAAATTGATATTAGGATATATCCAAGTGCATTTTAAAAACTAAGTATAGTACTTTAAAATTAATGGTATTAGCAAAAAAATTAGCTATCCATGTAACAACTCAAATATGTCAAAAAATAGCCATTATGGCACATTTAGGTTAGGATGTCTCGAAAACCAGAGGCAATTCAGAAATTTGGACCTTGGATTCGAATTTAGCGCACCAGTCCTTCGAAAAAGTACATTCTGGTTTCCGGGTCAGAGGGTCGGCCTGTGTAATCAATAATTATTTCCATTAACAAATGTTTTTATTTATTTCAATATTTAAAAAAAAATCACAAATTGTCACATTCAGTTGTTTTTATAGGTTTTAACTTTTAGTGTACTTTAATTATGTGCTGAAGTAGACAAAAATTGATTTAGAAACAGAAAACACATTTTAATAAACAAGATCAATTTACATACCTGCAGCACCTCCAAAACCTGAAGCAGCTCCCTGAGGAGAAAAATCGGTTCCCGGATAATGAGGTGGTCCGCTTGGGGGATAACCTCCTGGACCAGGTCCGTAACTGTTACTCTGAAATCCTGGGACAATACCAGGATATGGTGGAGGAGCATCAGTCATAAAAACACCATTTGTTGGTGGTTGCTGAGGAAATACATTTGTCGGGGGTACCCATCCGTAATAGCCTATACAGGAATATGTATATTGTTTAACTACACAAATATAAAGTGGTATCCTTAAGAATGTTCTGATAAAAAATCCTGGAAAGTTTCCAAAACGGAAATTTTCTGGGAAGAAATAATCGAAGGTTGGGAAAAATTTCCAGGAATATTTCCAACAATTTCTTTTCACCAATTTTACTTAACTTCTGTGAACACAACCTCAAAAAATCGTCAGCTAATTTTGGATTTTTGGTTAATTTGGTAATTTATCGTTTTTCCTGTTTTAAAAGTTTTTGTGCCAGTGGAATAGAAATAATTAAGGTAATTTATATTATGCCTTTTAGTTTTGCAAAAATTGTACAGATACTTTTACAGTAATAATAATTTTATTTATCATTAATGGACAAGTTTTCATAGACTTACTAAAAATAAAATAGATTACACAAAATGCAGATATTGTAATAAAACTTATCTAGTTGCTCTATTTCAAAACATCAGTCGAGTAGTGATTATCTTTAAGTTGTTCAAGTAAAATTTCAAAATTTTTGGACTGTATATCTCCCGATGAACAAGAAACATTAGAAGAGAGTTTTGCTAGTAGTCCTGTAGCCAGATGGGTCCCAATTGCCTCCTTCATTTAGATGGAGTTACCCAAGTGTTTTTTATGTATTTTGAGCTGCAGAACACGAATTTTTTGGGTAGAAGTTTGCCCGGATATCGATAAGTTTTTTATGAACAAAAAAATTGTAAAATACTGAACACTTGGTTTTTGACAAAATAAAATGTACTTTCTTATTCTTTGACCCATTTTAAGAAAAAAATTTCCCTTGCAATTTTTTTGTTAAAAGCATAGTTTTTGAGATAAACGCCGTTAAAAACTCGAAAAATTCGTTTTTTGCAATTTTCAATTGTTAATAACTTTTGATTGAATGGTATTTTGTAATTCTGCTGACGGTGTTTGAAAGTTCACGTTAAATACTACAAATTATGAGTAATTGCAGTGTGAAAATTTGTTTTTTCCACTGTTATTTGAAGCTATAAACAAATAGCGATTGAGCGTTCAAAAGGGTGCGCCGCCATGTACGTATGTAAGAGAGCGGTTGCCTTCTTACAGGCGTTCTTGACGCGTAATCTTCATTTCTAGATCAAAGAAACGATGAAACTGAACGAAACATTAACAATTTAATGAAAATTTGCAATATTACAATAATTTAAATTATTATACAAGTTTAAAAAATAATAATTATAAAAACACCTAAATTATACGATGTTACGCTTTTAATATAAGTAAGTATAAACTTTTTTATTATCGTTTATAAATAAAACTAATATAATTTCGCTAATTTTTTTCATANTACGATGAACTTCAAACTAATCTAGCTGAAATAGAGGCTACAATAAATCAACGACCTCTAACTTATGTTCATGACGATCCTAGTGATTTAATGATATTGACTCCATCACATTTTTTGTTAGGTTTCCGCAATTGTGGGTTTTCAATCGACATTAATAACCCTGATATAAAGCGAGATGATGTCCTTAAACAGTGGAAGCTACGAAACAAGCTTGTTAGAAAATTTTGGGATAGATGGTCCACCGATTATCTTCAGCAGTTGAGATCTGCCCATACCAATCTTAACGTGAAATCTACATCTTTTAAAATCGGTGACATAGCTCTTTTGCATGACCAAAACATGCCTCGTTTAGTATGGAAGATGGTTAGGATAACCCAGGTATTTCCTGGAAGAGATGGAAAAATACGAGCATGCGAAGTTATGTTGCCAAATAGGACGCTCCTAAGAAGACCGATTCAACTTCTTTATCCTTTAGAAGTCACTGCCGCCGGGGAGGATGTGAAAAAAGCGTGCACAGATACTGCAAAAGCGATGGCAGTGCAGGTGGTCGATGGTAGATTTTGGAACGGACGTGAATCTTCGTCATCGCTTGACCTGAGATAAAAAAAAGTGAAGTAATTTTGACAACTACTGTCAAGTTGTTTTTTTACTGTTACAAAGTATTAATGTTTAGATGTTCTTACAGTAAAGAGTACATACGAACCGGGTGTCTTTATTTTAACGATTAACGTATAATAAATAACAGCAACCGCTCTCTTACATACATGGCGGCGCACCCTTCTGAACGCTCAATAGCTATTTGTTTATAGCTTCAAATAACAGTGGAAAAAACAAATTTTCACACTACAATTACTCATAATTTGTAGTATTTAACATGAACTTTCAAACGCCGACAGCAGAATTACAAAATACCTATTCAATCAAAAGTTATTAACAATTGAAAATCGCAAAAATCACATTTTTCGAGTTTTTAACGGCGTTATCTCGAAAACTATGCGTTTAACAAAAAAATTGCAAGAGACATTTTCTTTTTAAAATGGGTCAAATAACAAGAAAGTACTTTTTATTTTGCCAAAAACTAAGTGTTCAGTATTTTGCAATTTTTTTGTTAATAAAAAATTTATTAACGTCCGGGTAAACTTCTACCCAAAAAATTCGTGTTCTGCAGCTCAAAATACATGAAAAAAACTTGGGTAACTCCATCTAAATGAAGGAGGCAATTGGGACCCCCCTGGCTACAGGACTATAGAGCCATTTATTCGTGTTCTTATCCTTTCAGTGTTGTGGAAATCAAATATTTCTGTATATTTGTGAATCAACTATGTTCAAGTTTTAAATTGCCGAGTAGAAAAAAACTTTCTACAGTTTTATTAAATAAAGAATATCAGAGAGTACATAAGGCTGCAATAAACAAAATATACTCCTCGGAATATTTAACAGATGGATGAACAGACGTAAACAGTGTGACTGTAATAAACACACAGCTTAAAGGACCCCGCACAAACCTTATGGAAATGGATACCCAGTAGATCTCTCCCAAATTTTGGGAATGAACTCTTCAGAGCATCCTGATCAAAAGTTCTCATGGACACAAAACCCGGAAACCGCTCCCAACCCCCCAAAATCACCCCCAAAGGTCAGGGGATGCATTCGGCTCATTATTACCACACCAAAAAAAGTATCAAACCCATGCATGCAATATATGGTTCCGGTGTATTTTTGACCGCTGGACACGACTATGTCATCATTTTTGCTCTAGCACGTATCAGTCTTCAGCAAATCGTTGAAGAAGCTTCAGAAAACTGAAGAAAGAACATGTGGCGTGTGATTCACATGCAATATGTGGTTTCCGGTGTATTTTTCTATGCTGAGCACTATTCTGAGGTCAAAAGTGTTTCAATTACCTTAAGCCTTCAACTAATCGCTGAAGAAGCTTCAGTAAACTGAAGAAAGAACACCATGGTTCTTCAGTGGTGTGTACATATCACATGTGAATTACAAAACACAATGTTTTTCCTTCAGTTTTTGAAGTTTCTTCAGTTATTAGTTGAAGACTTAAGATAATTAAAACACATTTGACCTCAGAATCTTGCTCAGTGTGCAAAAATAGACCAGAAACCAAATATCGCATGTGAATCACAGGCCACAATATTCTTTCTTCAGTTTTCTGAAGCTTCAGGTTGAAGACTTAAGATAATTGAAATACTGTTCGAATTAGAAGTGTCATACTATCTGACTGTTACATTGAATCTACAATTTTTTAACATCCCAAATCTGAACTGGGATTCGCAATCAGTAACCCAAGTTTAGTATCCCCGTACCGTAAATGTTTGGATTATAAGAGGTTCGCATTCTCTGCCCTCAATTTTGGCACCGGTATTGTTTTTCATTCCTACCTTGCATTTGACAATGATGAAAAACAACATCTCAACTTTGAAAAATTCTATACAGATTAACAGTGTTTCTAGCTGGCATTTTTTTAAATACTTATCCAAATATTAAGTTCTATATTTTTTTGCAGTTTCTCTTCTTCTAATGATTTTTAGTGTTTTTTTTATTTCATTACTTTGGATGAAATTTTTTTACGAAAAATATAAAGTATACAAGCTAACGCAAGTCCATATAAATAGTAAGTCCTCGTAGATGTAGAACAGATATTCCCAACTACCATCTATATTCATCCACATTAATTCATACTACATAATAATCTTCGTATTGTTCGTTATATTCATTTTTCTTTAATAAAACTGTACACACCATTTATCTTCTAGAAACTTATTTAATTGCTGATATTAGATAGTTTTCTATTAGTAATACATGAAAACATGCGGTGTTTCATTTGCAACGGTGCTAGAACAATGGGAAGTTGTTGCCATGTAGCATGTGTTTTGTGGTAATTCAAGTTTGATTAAAGGTTAAATATATGAAAGAATTAAAAATGGCAAGAAATACACAAAAAATCACAGACAGATATAGACAGATACAGACAGACGTATACACAGACAGAAGCAGACTCAGACATACGCAGACACAGACAGATGCAAACTCAGACAGACGTACACACAGACAGACGCAGACTCAGACAGACGCAGACGCAGATAGACGCAAATAGACACAGACTCAGACAGACGTAGACACAGACAGATGCAGACGCAGACACAGATATATGGGACCAGAAACTCATTACGTCCATGCCGTTGGTCCTGGGTAATGCAGATATCAATCCGCTTTTAGAGTTTGTGTAAAATTCTGAAGAACCATGGTGTTCTTTCTTCAGTTTTTTGGAGCTTCTTCAGCGATTTACTGAAGACTGATACGTGCTAGAGCAAAAATGATGACATATTCGTGTCCAGCGCTCAAAAATACATCGGAAATCATATATTGCATGTGTGGGTCTGATACTTTTTTGGTGGTGTGATAAAAATAATGAGCTGACTGCATCCCCTGACCTTTGAGGGTGATTTTGGGGGGTTGGGAACGGTTTCCGGGTTTTGTGCCCATGAGAACTTTTGATCAGGATGCTCTGAAGAGTTCATTCCCAAAATTTGAGAGAGATCCACTGGGGATCCATTTCCATAAGGTTTGTGTGGGGTCCTTTCCTGTCAAAAGATCTAACAACTCATACCGTTAACAGAACTATACAAATTGCAAAAAAATAGTGCAATATTT